GATTCTATCGAAATAAAATATATGGTAAAACAATTTAAATTATTAAAAATTTATCATTTCACATTAAAGATTTTATATAACTGAAAAAATATCATATTTACAATTTATTTATATTTAACAAATTCATTATAAATTATAGTAAAAAAAATATATGTTAAACTCTTGTAATTTTGTCTGAAATTATTAAATACAATAAATCAAATAATTAAAAATCTTAGAAGAAAAAACCGTGCATCGCACGGGCTTCCATCTAGTTTAATATTAAAACAAACATCGAAAGTGACACGTGTCACTTCTTGGTGCTGTTTTTTCCCTCCAAAACTCCCCTTCCTTTTTAGCCAAAATATTTTCTAAAATATTTTTATAATTCAACTATAATAATTTTATTCCAAATCTTTTATAAATATTTTTTTATTTGTTCTTCATACACATTTACCTAAAATATTTCCAACTCTTTTATAATTATCTTTTGTACGAAGTATTAGATTTTGCCAAAAATTTAATACCCATTCGTTCCTAAATAAATGACACAATGGACCTTTTTTCAATATTCATGTACTAACTTTGACCGTCATTTTTTAGTAATAACATATAAAATACGAATTTTATTATAAAATAACGAGACATGCATACAAAATTAACATTAGAATTACCATTACAGTTGTACAATAGTGAGGGTTGTTGGAAAAAAAAAAAATTCTAATCTTATGAAATAGTAAAAATTGAATTAGTTTTCTATAAAATATTCATATAATTTTACCAACTTCTAATTTTTTTTTGAAGGTTTTTCTTTAAAAAAGTTCTAAAAGAAAAAAAAAAAGTTAACGACATAGATGAAGCTTAGTGAAGTGTAAGATTAAAAAACTTAAAACAGCAAAGATAACAATGGAAAAAAAAATTTAGATTTCCTCAATACTGTGCATGCTCTAATGAAGTCCAAATTATTATTATTTTTTTTTTTTTCATATAAACTTATGACAATTGCCTTTCATATAAACTTATGACACTTTACTAAATTTTTGTAAAAAATAGAATTACCGTGCATGACACGGGGCCTAAGCTAGTTCTATATATACTACTGCTTAAATGTATTCTTCTAGTAATCTTGTTATTTGTACACGTGCAATCTCATGTTATTTGATGTACTGTATTGTTTTTGTTTCAAATTCTACTTAAACTTACCTCTTTTGTATGTACATGATCAAATTATTGGTTATTGGTTATTGGTTATGGGCATGTAACTATGTAACTACATATGAAGTATGTATGTAACTAATTTAAGTAAGGAGTAATATGTATATGATCAAATGATTGGTTATGGGCATGTAACTATGTAACTACATATGAAGTATGTATGTAACTAAATTAAGTATGAAGTAATAAGTAAAGCGATATCTACTTCCTACCTCTCAAATTCATCTATTTTTTTCTATCCTATTTGTTTTTTTCTTTCGTTGCCCTTTAATTTTGAGTAGATTGTTTACGATGTATTTGATATTGGATCAGTCAACTAACCTCCAAGTATCCAACGGCTGAATTTTACTCACTCTTTTCCATAATATATTTCAAGGGATTTAAAGGTAGTGGAGGGAGTATGCCATTGTTGTTTTCTTGTAAAGACAAAACAAACATGTATTTGATGAAGCTTTGGATATAGAGGTATTTTAAATGGGAAAGGTTAAGAAGTACTCTGTCTATAATGACATGAAAAATTTGGAAAATGTTGGGTATTTTATATGAGAAATATACAAATGTTGATTTATTTATATAAAAATATGTATAGTAAAAAATTACAAATAATTAAGCAATATTTTGATATACTTAAAATGGAATACATGCACTATATTTGGGGAAGAGGGATAACTAACAACTATTTTGATCAAATAAATCCATAAAACTAAAATACAAATCATAATTAAAAGTTGATCGTCAAACAAGATTGGTCTTTTTTATTAGTCAAAACTAGTTGAATAACAACTAAAAAATTAACTTCAAAATCAGTGAAGCAGAGTGTAGCAATTAGCAGCAACATCATTACTGACAATATTGTGGAAAATTTTCAATCCAATTAAAGCTTAATAATCAGACCATGCTAAAGTTGTTCGCTTAATATAATTGGATGCTACATTTTTTGGTCAAATGAGAATTGAGAACAATCTTTGATATGGAGTACTTCTTATCATTTCTATTTTGATTTAATTCATTAATCTCCTTATGATGGTCTAATGTCCGCTTTTTTTTTTTAGAACTAGAGTATACCTATGGTAATGCACAAAAATATATTCTAATAATTTACAACGAAATATTACCTTAGCGATAAAATTGAGTTCGAAGAGTTGTTAACGTTTGTTGATAACTTTTTTCAAAATTTTTAAATTTTTTTTAGGTGGATGCTAATATTATGAGTTAGATTTTGAATTTTGAGGGTTTGTTTCGCTATATATGATTCACTTTTGGTAAGAAGTTCATGCATTATCATTCAAAGTCAAGGAGCAATAAATCGTTTGACTCGAGTAAAATTAAAAACTTACATTCGCAATAACTATTGTCCTCAAAGAAGTACAATAGAAAAAGTTTTAGTAAAAAAGTTCCTTCCAAATCAATAATCATAAGACATAATGAGTATTGGTAAAGGGTTTAAAATCAATCATGGTATAAATACTGTAGTTTGTTTTCACTATGATTTACTTTTGAACTTAATACATCTTTTTGCATTATAGATCTAAAGAACCCTAGGCATTATATTGTGTATTTGTGTGTGTATAAAGCTTATTTAAAGCTTTTGGACTTATAATATATAAGCAGTAATTGTTTGAATTTTTGTTTTGAATATATATAGTGCTTTAAGTGATCCATTACATAGGATCGGAGTCTCTTTTGTTTATCAGGTAGACATACGCTAACGCATTATAAACAAACCATTTACATTTGTGTATGTGTTCTTAAGTATTGATTTTATTGATCTATCTTGCATTTGTTATAACATAAATTATTGTTAAAGAAAAAAAATGTAACAATAAAGTATTGAAGAAATAATGAAATATACTTCAAGAAAATAAAATTTTGAATAGAGAATGCACAGTACAATAGCTATTAAATTGAAAAAGTTATGAGATATATTAGCAAAGTATGGGTGAAAAAAGAAAAGAAGTACGACTACATACATTGAAAAGATTAACCCATATAATTAACAATTTAACATATATAATAGCAAGGAGATAACCTTTTATCTACTTTGTAAAACAAAATTATAATTGTAAAGTTTATATTTTCTCTGTAAAAAAAAAAAAAAAAGGTTTATATATTTCCATCGAAAAATGCATCTTACCCTGTATTAGACAGTATGTAGCAAATCAACTCTAAATTGAAATCATTTTGTTGTAACCAAAAATATTCAAATTATTGAGTCATACATGTATGTATTGCATATCCTTTTCATGGAAGCAAAAATCTTTCATCTCAAAGTTTCAACTCTCACACTAATGATTTCTTCACATTTTTAGAGGTATAGATTAATTTCATATACACACACACACAAAAAAAAAGGAAAAAAAAAGAAGTTAAATGTAGTGAGTACTCTTTACATGTAATTTCCACCCTATTTATGAGTTTATGACCAATGTATTAATTTTTACACCATATCGATCACAATCTCCCATTCTTACACCCATGTGAAAAAGGTAAAATAAATAAAAGATGATGATGTAATACTTCCTCTATTCCACAAATATTACAACGATGAAATTACGTATCCCAAAATACATTTTATATGCTAAATATCTATAATTATATAAGAGTAAAAATTATAAAAAGTTGATATTGTGAAAGTATTTTACGAGACGAATCTAACAAGACCCCACATAACTATATTTTATTTTATGTATAAATCATAGTATATGGTCAAACAAGCGTGATGAATAGTGTAAAAGTCTAGTTGTTGTAATATTATTAGAACGGAGGAAGTATTTACCATAAATAATGCATGTACAATTGTACACTCTAATTATCCACCACATAACTATTTAGTTGATTAATTTTACACTTTTTACCCTCTTTTGTACGTTGTCCACAATACTATATGTATATCCAAGATATTTTCCCTCCTTTTTCACCATAATTATGATGAACATAAGTATATGTTTAAGTTTCCCACTATAAAAGGCCAAAGAAGTGTTTCTTTAATCCTATTTTCCTCCCTATTCACCCTTTTGTCCCCTTGAAGCCAGTATTTTGCAGGTTGCCGTAGCTTGTCCCTTTAGCTTTTAAAGACCTACGCGTAGCACATGCAATTATTTCTTCCCCAATTCATCCAATTTTTTAAATACAAGTAATTAAATTCATTTATTACATTAATTTAAACATAATTTCTAAGCTTGATCTAGAGAGACTGGGAGAATGACCGCACCTAATTTTGAGCTGAGGGTTCAATCATTTCGAAGGAATTGATATAACTCGCTAATATTGAACCAATAATTTATACTGTAAGAGTTGAAGTTTAGTCTAGCTACTCCTTTACCTTAAAAAAGCATTTCTACATTCTCACATAATATGGTCAAATTTAACAACCTTTGATTAGAATATAGTTTTATACTTAAATAGTTAAATATATTTACTTGGTTTTCTTTATACCAATACTTCATATTATTTAGAGTTTTATGCTTACCTATGTATAACAATGATCGTGAATATCTTTAAGAAAAAGCATATTGAAACAAATCTTACAAACTACTATATACATTATATTATATTCCATATGTATAAATCACAAAATATAGAGACAATTAAAATTGTGTGAATAATATAAAGTCAAATAGTAAAAGTAAAAAAGTAGAAAGGAAATACGAAAGAAAATTTTTGTATGCACTCGCTCCGCTTCAGGATAAATGCAACTTCGTATATGTTGAACTCTTCATCTTTATTTAGCATACCACGTATCTTCTTTAAATGTCTTCATATGTATTAACATATATGATACTAATTAATCTTAGTATATACAAGATATTTTAGGTTTATGTCAAGGTATTTCAATTTATCAACTTTTTATGTGTTTTTCATCGACAAATAATTAGATATATTAGTAATCCAATTACAAATGTGTCGGCAATATGTTATATTTAACTTAAAACAGAGGTATAATAAAAGTCATCACATAATTAAAATACAAAACTAAATCATCAATAACAATAAACCGTAAAAAACAAAATGGTGCACGAAAAAAAAAAAAAAAAAACCAACAAACCCGTCCTTATTTATTAGCTACCATTATTTTATATTTTAAATAATATACTACTCCTAATTTACGTCATCTAATTATTCCAATTATTAACTACGTATATATATATATAAAAAAAAATAAAATAAAAATTATTCCAATTATGTTTATTGTTATTATTCATCCCCTTTTAAATACCCTCAGCCGACCACTCCATCCACCCCATTTGCTTTCTTGTAAAATCCCCTCTTTCTCTCTCCTCTTTATCTCTCTCTTCCAATTTTTTGTTTTTGTGAAACAAAAAAATAAATAAATAAAAAATCATCTTCTTTCTCTCATCTTCAACTATGAGGCTCACCTCAAACTATATACCATTTTCATATCCCTAAAATAAAATTAATACCCTTCAATATTTTCCTTCTATTATTAGTAATTTAGTATTAATACTACTTATAACCCTAAAAATAATCACAAATTAGAGAAAAAATGAGCTTAGATGATTCCTTGCGATCTCTATCGTTGGATTACCTTAACCTGTTAATCAACGGCCAAGCTTTCAGCGACGTAACCTTCAGCGTAGAAGGACGTTTAGTACACGCGCACCGCTGCATCTTAGCAGCGCGTAGTCTGTTCTTCAGAAAATTCTTTTGTGGGCCGGACCAACCGGGTGGGCTTGACCCACGGGTTATGGGTCAAGCCTCATCGCCTCGAGCCAGTGGTGGTCCGTCACAAATAATACCGGTTAACTCAGTCGGGTATGAAGTTTTCATGTTATTATTACAATTTCTTTACAGTGGTCAAGTTTCAATTGTTCCACAAAAACACGAACCTCGTCCCAATTGTGGTGAGCGCGGTTGTTGGCACACGCATTGCACCTCTGCCGTTGATCTTGCTCTTGATACGCTCTCCGCCGCTCGATCTTTCGGGGTTGAACAACTTGCTTTGCTTACTCAGGTTCGTTATAAATAATTTTAATATAATTTGCGTCATTTGGGTTGAATAAGTAGTGGATGATGAGCTGAGGTAAGATCTTAATTTTTTAAAAAACAAATATAATTCGGGTTTTTTTAGTTGTTCTTGTATACAACGGGTGTATTGTTGCTGTCACAGTTGGATGAACTTGTTACCGTAAAATGGGCAAAGATCTCATCCAAATGGTTACTTACTTATTATAGATCTTATGATGATTGTTAAGTATGTTTGTATAATTTAAGAATTGATATTTGGGGGTAGGTGTTCAAATCATTTCAATCAAAGTCTTTTCTTCCACAGTTGCTGGGGGGGGGGGACAAAGTTTAACTGATTTCTGTAAAAAAAACTTTACTTTCCTCATTTGGAGCAACTCATTGTCTTAACTCTAATATGGTAATCTACTCATGCTTACACAAACTCCCATAAATGTATATATAAACAAATGAATTATTGTATTGTCTTTATTAATTATGTGACATTTATCCAATTTTGTGTGAAATTTAAATTTTGTACTACAATGGTCTTGTATTCATGAAATGATAAGACTTTGTATCTTATTGATTACTCATACTGAAATTATCTTTTTTAAGACATAACTTGTCATTCTACAATTTCTATTATTTCATCATATATGAAACGTGTAAGTAAAGAGATTTGTTAATGAAAATTTACAAACTTCATTTGTCATTTGAGCTTAATTAACACAATATAAGTATTAATCTTGATAAAATGCTACCATCGTTGAAATCTAGCTCACAATACTAGTTGTAATTACAATATTACACCATCGACTGTCAAAAATAATTACACTATCAATGTGACAGCTAATTCTGAACAGAGGAGGTATTGTACGGAATTCTTTGTATTCTGGCAATAGTTTGTGTAAGAAAATTATTACTAGATTTATGTAAAGGTCCAATCATATACATTATTTCATGCGTGCAAATTTTGGAATAAGATTTGCTCAACAATATAAAGTGATAGCCCTGACACTTATGTTTAGTTAGTTATTTGATCCACCCTATATGAACCAATTAATAGTATTGTTTAATAAACATAATTAGAGTATATTACTAGTGTTACATTGCAATATTGATCAATGTTTAATTTTGGGATGAATTTAATTTGCAGAAGCAATTGTCAAGTATGGTAGAAAAGGCGTCAATTGAGGATGTAATGAAAGTACTAATTGCATCAAGGAAGCAAGACATGCACCAACTATGGACAACATGCTCACATCTTGTAGCGAAATCCGGCTTACCTCCGGAAGTCCTAGCAAAACACCTCCCAATCGACGTGGTAGCGAAAATCGAGGAGCTCCGGTTAAAGTCATCGATAGCAAGGCGATCATCCCTTATTCCACGTCACCACCACCACCACGCTCATGACCTCGGTCTCCCTTCCCCCGTGGAACAGGAGGACCACAAGATCCGGCGGATGAGACGTGCACTCGACTCCTCGGACGTGGAGCTAGTCAAGCTCATGGTCATGGGTGAAGGCCTAAATTTAGATGAAGCATTAGCACTACACTATGCAGTAGAAAACTGCAGCCGTGAGGTTGTCAAGGCATTGCTTGAACTAGGGGCAGCCGACGTGAACTACCCGGCCGGTCCCACAGGGAAAACCCCGCTTCATATAGCAGCCGAGATGGTGTCCCCGGACATGGTGGCAGTGTTGTTAGACCACCACGCAGACCCAAATGTACGCACCGTAGACGGAGTCACTCCCCTAGACATCCTAAGGACTTTAACCTCGGATTTCCTCTTCAAAGGGGCGGTCCCAGGTTTAGCTCACATTGAGCCCAACAAACTACGACTTTGTCTCGAACTCGTGCAGTCCGCTGCTATGGTGATCTCAAGAGAGGAAGCGAACGACAACAACACCACCACCAACAACAACAATAACAATAACACATCGATTTACGCGCCTGTTGGAGGCGATCAAGAGAATACTAGTAGTACTAGTAGTAGTGGAAATGTTGGGAACATTAGTATAGATTCAAGAATGGTTTATTTGAATCTAGGGGCAGTTGGTTCAGCGTCAATGGGAGATCATCACCACCATAATGAGGATAATAGTCATACAAGTCACCCGAATCCGGCGTCGATTTATCATCACCACCACCAGCATCACCATCATCATAACGAGTATTGAAGTTAAATTTTGGAGTGTACGGACGTACGTACGGTTGGTGTTACATATTTTAGTTAATTAATTGAAAACAATCAATATGTAATTATCCATCTATGTATGTCATTCAACAACAAATTACTACTACATAGTGGATAATGCTAGAATTATTTACATAATTCTGCTCAATTAATTCAATTTGAGTTTCTCTAATTTATTTTTGGATTATTTCTGGGTTTTTGTAGGTTTTCTTTTGTTTTTGTTTTGTTTTTTTTTTTTTAAAAAAAAAATTATTTTTTTTATGCATGATCAGTTTAATGATGAATGATTATATGCAAAATGCAGTTGATCATCTGAAGTGGAGATTTTGGCTTCTTTTTTTTGGGAGCATTAATTCTACAAAAAAAATAAAAAAATCAGGTCAATCTTTTCAATACAAGGCTGTAAAATTAAATTATGTTTTGTAAAAATATTATTACATGGGTTAATTCACCCCTGTTATATTACAATATCATGCCCTATTTATTGCTACCTTTTCTTTTCTTCCTTGTCTCCCACTCATCTTTTCTTCCCATTAAAATTTGTTGTTTCCTACCCTTTGGCTTTTTTGATAAGGTGTTGCTATAATAAAAATATTGAGCTTATTTAAAAAAAATAATAATAAAATAATAATAATAAAAAATTGAAAATATAGATTTTTTTTTTTTTACATATATATTTACAGTGAATTTATTCATTTTGAAATGTTCATCATTAATTCAGATAACTTATGCAATGTTTATTATAAATGATTATAATAGTGTACTATAAGAGCTATATTTCATTCAAAATAATTTCTCTGACAATTTTTTTTTTTGATTATAAGGAATTATTTTGACTGTTAAATGTTTTTCCTAAATGTCCTTAATGTAATTTGACTTTTTTTTTTTCTATAAAAGATTATTTCAGTCAAGAAAAACTTTTTAGAATGAAGAGAATATTAATTACGTGAGTGTTGATAGGTTAGCTCGTGATCGGATAGTGTTAATAACCAATCTATATAGTGTATAATAGTTATCTTACAACAATGTTTATTTTTATTTTTAATAATGGTGATAGTGCATTGTGTTGAACAATATATCATGACAATATATTGAATTGCTTTTCAATTTGGTATCAAGATTGCAATACTAATACTATTGGTTTAAAAGTAAGGATGTGAAGTGTTGTTACTATTTTCCAAATTGGTAGCAATTGTCATTCTTGGGGAAAAACTACAAGTCACTTCTGGTTCAAAGTTGTAATTGGTGGTACAACATTATGTAATCATCGGTATCCATTTACAATTTGAGAAAAAACCCTTTGTATGTATGTATCCTTATAAAGGATAATTTTCTTTAATTCCTAAAATGGACAATTGTAAACTAAAATGTAATTCAAAAGTTAAAGTTTTATAACTACTAAGACTTAAAAAATCAAATTAAAAAAGAAAAGTGATTTTATATAAAAAGATTCTCTTTTTAATCTATACAAGTATGTTTTCACCATCAAGCCTTTTCTCATGTATATAATGGTCTCTATTGTTAATTACGGGATAATTTATAAGTAAATTTTTTAGGAAAAGTGTGATTGTTATTCAAAAACAAAATTGAATTCAATCAACATTTGTGTCGTTTGACTCATTCATAATCAATTAATAATTGTCTTAATTCAGTTTCTTGTTATATCTTGAACTACTATATATTACTACCTTTGTATTAAGATAATGCAATTATTGGTTATGATAGGATTAAATATTATACTGTGTGCAAGCTTTTATCAAAATTTGAGGTTGTAAGTTGTAACTTGACTTCCCTAGCATGTCTTGGTATTGTAGTGTAGTTAGTTAACAAGATTATACATTTATATATGTAGTTTATTTTAACATATTTATTTATAATATATGTGGCTAGATCTTGTTCTATTTGGGAAAATGAGCTGTTCATGCCTTTTATGGTTCATTTCTTTTCTTGGCTACCTCCAATCAATTAACCTTTTCACATAAGTTCAAGTTTGATTGTCTTTTTGGTCTAATTGTTATAGTTTTTTTTAAGGCTTGTGGGTGCAAATTATTGATTGGTTTGTCTTGGATGAACGCAGCAAATGAACTGTGACCACCAGCAAAAATGGACTTATCATAGCTTATACAATAATTTATTATACCAAAATACAACAATATCTTATCTTAATTATTCTTTTTGATATCTTATTAATTAAGTATTTAGGATTCCAATAACCCTCCTTTCGCTTTTTCTCGACCTTGCCATTTTGGGGAGCTCTACTTAATAATTATCTTTCTTTCACCTTGTTTCTAATTTAATAGAAACCCTAGGTTTAGCTCTCTCCATCACCTAAATTACTAGCTAGGTTTGGCCTACGATTGCGCGATTCTTTCTCACCCTTGCTCTTTCCATATTCCCCATGTGACTTATCATATAAAATTTTTCATTCGTACTTTAGGCAATAATATAATTACTCTTTTTGTTTAAGTATCTATTCTTATATTATGCATCCGACAACAAAGTGATGATACAGATTTCACGGTATAATAATTATGTATCATTAATAGATCTACATATTTGATCTTTATAAACCCAAGAATATTAGGATCCTTAATTCTTGTAGCATGCAAAGATCTTGACTACATAAAAAATTAACTACTATAATGGTACGATGTTGAATTAGACTATTCCTTGTGTTATTGTAATTGAATTTATTTTGATACATGCATGAACTAAATGAGTTTTCCTAATGATAATTTACCGAACTAAAGAGAATTATCTTGTACAATTAGATGACTCGATTATATCGATATTTAACTATCATTTATGTAGTTAATATTATATAAATCACTTTGTTACATATGTACTATTTACATAAATGATTTATTTAGAAGGATGCATGGACATTACCATTATGAAAGCAATTAAAGTATGGGCAAGATCAGGGTTGTTATGTGAAAAGGTGCAATTTTCACCTAGGAAATAATACAGTCATTTAGGCACAATCAAATAGTAAGATGGAATCATACTTTGTTTTGGCTTTAGTCCTGTCACATTTAGCATATTTGTCTAAAGATTTTGTTGATTTCCTAGGTAATAGTATTATGCCAATAATGCAGCTCTCTCTGTTATTAACATCTTAAGCTTACAGTCTAATGGACGATAATATTTGTACTTGCCTCTATATACTCTGTATATGTATATATGTATAAGTTTTGTACATTAGGTATCGTATGTGTTGGATGTGACCCAAATTTTATAAGTCCATTGATTTGATGAAGTATTTTTTGCATGTCCTAGAAGCTTTCGGATTCATGTAGCATGACTGCTATTGCTCTTCATTTCTTTAGATTTTACTATTAGCTTGTATCATGCAAGGATTGCAAGCCACTAGAATGATGTAGAGAATTCTTGACATTGAAAAAAGCTAGAAATATGGTTTATGAACATTTAGAATATTATGGCGGCAAGAATGATGAAGGAAATTCTGGAATCTTCCAACCATTTCTTCCAACCTTCATCTTCTATTATAAATATAGGTCATAGATTCAATCAAGGTACATACACACAAGAAGCCATACCTATACACAAGTCTTCCTACTTTTCTTCCTTCCTTGTATATAATCCACCTTCTATCTACAAATCTACTATTCCCTCTTTATACTACTCCGTACTCCATTGTGAGTTTATACAGTGAGAGTTTAATTGCTTGTACTACTCACCTTTTCAAGGGTTTTTGTACTCTCCTATTTTCATGTAGTGGATTATTTTGGTGCTCGTCGTCATGGGGTTTTTAATAATCTTTCATGCATTATTAAATTAAATATTGTGGGTTTATCTTGTCTATTTATCTTGCCTTTACTTTAGGTTTTATCTTCTAATTGCTACTCCTCAATCTCCTACATTTTTAATTTGCTTTCGTTGTGCACTCACCAATCCTAACAATATGTCTAATAAACGTAATACTCCACAGTCCGCATTGCTGACAATATGCAAAACTAGTAGCTCTAAGATCTTGCAAAATTGACCTGATCCAAGTAAATTGTATCCGAAATTAGGCTACTTAATACTTCAATAGGCAATACTTGCTTGACGAACTTTGCAAATTAATAAAATCATATAAATCTTCATCATAATTAGAAATACTTGTTAATAATTGGACCTAAAAATATATTTTAATTGACCCGCATTCAATCAATGTAACTCATCATCTGAATATGACTTCAACTGGATTGTCACCTTCTTCATTTCTTCTATCACTGTGCTACCTTTAGTCGATGGGAGGGTAAGATTTTGTATATTTGCTTATTGGTTGGGTATTTAGGATTACACTAGCGAGTAGATCATGCAGAATTCGTTATCCATAGCTACACCCACATCTACAACATTTTACTAGCTATCTTGATAAGTTATAAAATGTAAACCACTTACATAAGTTATAAAATGTAAACCACTTACATATTTTCCGTGATAAATATCAAATATGAGTTATATCCTTTTATTTTATTTTTTACTATGGCTACATAACAAAATCAAAGGAGTATTTACCTACTGTTTTATTATAATTAAGGTCATGTCTTTTTATACAATCAATTGCATAATTGTGTTTTAGGCGATAAACCCAATCGGTTTGCACCATATCTAACTAATTACAATCCTTACTTGAATAGTGAAATAATTTTATTTTTTTATTATATTTTTTTTAACCAAGTGAAATACTTAAATGTATTATGTATAGTGATTATTATGTACGTCCATCATTAATATTACGTAATATTTTTGTGATTTATATAAAGGTTACTAGTTACTAGTTCATTAAAAACAATTACCAATCCAAACAACTAATTTAATACTATCAAGTGCTCTGTAAACTAGCGTGCCAAATGTTATTTAACATCCACCAATAATTAATTGATTGACAAACACACAAGGCCTATAATACTTCGTAAGTAATTGTTACCTGCCTTAAAAAAAAAAATTGGTACCCTTCTTTCATATAATCTGTTTTACCATTGCTTTTTAAAGTGTAATTTTGTAAATAGTTTCTTGTGTTGTAAATAATTTACTTTTAATAATCTCATTTTCAAAATTGGTTACAAATAGCCTAGGAAAATTCATAGGCAAAATGATGAAATCCTTTTTAGCGTCTATTTTTGGAAACTTATAAGTTCTTCCTTT